TGAAAATTTAATCTTCTAAAATTTCAGTATGTAATTAGAAACATATACAATGTCTTGGTATATACAATAAGCATGAAATCAGCATTAGCATTTTGTAACCTAATGATATTTATAACATGCTTAAAATATTAAAGCTATATGCTTATGGATTTTGTACAAAAACTTTAAATGTGTAGGAATAATCAAGAACTATTTTTGTTTTGTTTTCAAATGACAAACCCCGTCTTTGTTTCTTAAGAAATTTCTCGTTATTATACTAACTTCAAATTTGCTCAAATGGTGTTAGCGAAGTATATAAATTTCAATTAGAAATCAATTGAAATAGTTCAGCATTTATAATTTTCATCATTAGATTAAAATATCTGCCAAGCTTTTGTAAATTGTGATTATTTGTTATATATCTTGACATCATTTTTGCAAGAAGCTATCTTTCTATCTATCTATCTATCTATCTATCTATCTATCTATCTATCTATCTATCATCAGTTGAAGATAAAAGAAATGATTATGCTCCAAACAGCCAAAAAACATATAGGTTAGATATTAATTTTGGAAGAGACACTGAAAATCCATTGTGAACATGCAGATCTTCTGAATGACTGGATCAGTTCTTATTAAAACAAGAATAAAAATTCAGTGATAAATTCAGTGCTTGAGCTTCCAAAGAAATCCTCAAATAAAATGTACTTCTGGTGGAGCTTTTCTAAAGGAGGACAAAACATTGTTAAGTGCATTCATCAACGGGCCGGCCAAATAGCTCAGCCAGATTAAAGCACCTGCAAGCAGGTGCAGGGACTGGGGTTTGATCCCTGGGCCGCCATGCTAGCCCTGCCCCCAGGTGCATGCTGAGACTGTGACTGAGACTGGGCATTGTGGCACATGCCTGTAATCCCAGCACTTGGGAGGCTATAAACAGGAAAATCATTATGAGTCCAATCTAGTAGTGCAACCGCGAACACCCTGTAGACCCTTACCTAATGTACCAAAAAAAAGGGCATTAATCGGTAAGATTAATTCATGAGCATCTCAGATAACATTCAGCAAAATCTTCAGTAGAAGTGACAGAAATCTTGCTAAATGATTTTGAGAATAAAGGCAATACCCAATTCAGAGGTAAAGCTTTAAATGTCACCAGAACCAAAACACTGAAGTAGTCCAGATGTGAAAATAATGTGTTGTATAATGAGGAAAATTATCTAAGAGAAGTGCAGGAACTGTAAAACTGGGCTTGGAATCCACATCTGAAGCTCAAATACACATGGAAGCACTAGAAATAAACAATGCTGCAGTGTTAAAGTAGAAATGCAAATCTTTCTGATATTCATTCTTCTAAGAGATAACACAGAGACTGGGCGTGGTGGTGCACGCCTGTAATCCCAGTGCTTGGAAGGCTGTAAACAGGAGAATCACTATGAGTCTGATCTAGTAGTGAGACCCTGAACACCCTGTAGACCCTTCCCTAAAATACGAGAGAGAGAAAGAGAGAGAGAGAGAGAGAGAGAGAGAGAGAGAGAGAGAGAGAGAGAGAGAGATAACACAAATAGGGTGCATCCTAGAACCAGCCAGAAGAATGTGTAGGTAGGCTAGAATTGCAGAACATAGAATGGCAGTTATTCAGCCAGTCAGCAAAAGTGACAAAGGATGAGAAAAGCAAGCTCTTCAGGAGAGAATTCAGATCATCATCTCTAGAGACCATCAAGTGAACTGACCTCCACTATAAAAAATAATACAAAGGATATAAAAAAAATGAGTGTGTCCATGAATGTTGAAAACCTTAATTATGAACACCTATAAGTCAAACTCCAGTGTAACATGTGGAGCAAAAACAAGTATGTTTCCAGCAGGATCTGCCACTTCTGGCTTTGGAGAGTTAGTTAATCTCTTGAACTTCTTTGTATGGCTATGTAGCAGGGATTGGAATCACCACCTTGGGACACATGGGGGTGAAAGGTCACCATGGTGGGCACTCCTCAATGGCACTTTGTCTTTCTATTGCTATGCATGAGGTTGTTCTAAAACATGCAGTACTTCTGCTGTTCTAGTAACTCTGTTTATTGGTTTTCTATTTCCCTCACAGGTGAACGCTTTAGCAACGGTATTTCCCCCAAGCCCACTATTTTTCTTCCTTCAGTGCCTGAAACAAACCTCCATGAGGCTGGAACGTATCTTTGTCTTCTGGAGAATTTTTTCCCTGATGTTATTAAGGTATATTGGCAGAGAGCAGACGACAATAGAATTCTGGAATCTCAGCAGGGAGATACCATGAAGACTAACGACACCTACATGAAGTTTAGCTGGTTAACTGTGACTGGAGATTCCATGACTAAGGAGCACAAATGTATTGTCAGACATGAGGCTAATGAAGGAGTTGATCAACAGATTCTCTTTCGTCCCATAAAGCAAGGTATGTGTTAATCCACATGCATAGTATATAACCTTCCAGGCAGTTTACTTCAAAGAGAACATCTTACCTTTTCTGTCATGAAATAATGAAAACCATTGCATGTTTTTCTAAAATGCTACTTTATTTATTAGCAACACAACTACCCTATTATTTTCCTATAGCTTTAAAATGGAGCTTTTGAGGGAGAAAAGTTGAAAAACTTGCTGAAACTCACCTTCAACTTCATTATCCAAAATATTAAGATCAAATGGCATTTCTTAGAATCATTAAGTGGATTCAATGAACAACATACTTGAAAACACATATTAAGTCTAATGTGGCAATGTCATCTTTGATGTCTTTGGTGAAGAAATAAAGAAAATTATGCATCTTTCATGAATGTTCTACCAAGCAAACAAAGTTACCCACTTCAATCTTGTCCCATAAATTTAAACCTACAAAAATAAGTTCTTGACTGAAAAAGATTTCAGATGAAAGAATGAGCATCTGGCTCTGTATAGAATAATGTTGGTCATTGTACTCCACAGAAGCCTTGAGATTTTCTGATTTTTATTTTGCACATCATTGATAGACAAAATAATCATAATTGAAAGATTAGGTGTGGACAACCTATACAAGTAGGCCTGCACTCTCCATCATGAATGTGTTTTTTGCCATTGGCAGAAGCAGCTCGAGAAACATCTACTGGACTATTTGTGTATGCAGAAGTGAGGGGAGCTGGGGCAGGCAGTTGACAATGAGGTAGTGCCCCAAGGGTGAGGAGATGCAGTGAAGAGCATACGCTCTGTCCCAGTCTCTCGGTGTCAGTCATGATTCAGGCATGATGTCTCAAAGCAATCGCTGTGATGCAATCAGGTGCAGGCCTACATAGCTGGCCCAGGACCCAGAGAGCTCTGGGAATATGCTGCGTGTCACAGTCCTGAGTATTAAGCAACAGTCCAAAGGACTCAAGCAGCCTGAGAAGGAATCATTTGTACCTTTCCCTAATGATAACCAGCCCCTTTGAATCTCTGGAACACACGATGACAAAATGTGTAAAACCCGAGGTGTGCACCATTCTGAGTCCCCAAAGGAGGCTACAGCCTCTGGGAGCCTTAGTTTCTGTGGGAGTCAAGGAGATTTGAACAGTTAACTCAGGAGCTGGCATGATTTGGAATGTTATGGCTGCTTTTCTTGAAGATTGTCTTGGATATTGTACTTCCTTGAGATTAAAAAGAAAAAAACGTGTATTACTTTAGCATCTACTTCTTAATGTGCACAAATAAGATATGAACACATCTACTGAGTTACATGGAATAGGACCAATCATTTCTGTAACTGGGGCACTCATATTTTTAATGCGCTTCTTGTTTCTTAAGAAATTGATTTGTACTTATTTGCTATGCAGTGCATGTATGAAAATAATATATTTTATATAAAACATTCATTTATATATTCATATGACATATGCATAAATACAGAACTGTTAAAATATGTGCATGGATAATCAACATGTTCTCTCATTTTTTGTAGCTGTCACTATTGATTCTGAACCTTGTTTCAAACATGAAACTGGTAAGTTTCAGTGCTTGTTTCCCTTTGCTTCATGATTGCTTTTTCTCTTTGATCATCTTCATGTTTGAGCTGCCTTGGCTTAAGTTAGAAAAATGAGAATAGCTAGATGTTTCAGAACAGACAGTGAGTGATATTTTACATTCATGCATTACCTCCTAGCCATCATACTGCCATGTAAACTACCAGTTTCCATATAGGACGACTTCAGTTAGAAGGCTCGCTGGTGTGCTCTGAACTATTTCAACAAAAGGGTTTTAGTCACTTGTCTCCTGCTTTTAGGAAAAGCATGGTGCCATGCTAATACTAGACTAAAAAAAATCTTCTAGCTAGTTACTGGGGATAGCAACTGCCTTTTTTTTCTTTGTACAGAGGTCTTGCTCATGCATTCTCGTTTAATTTTCAAAATATTCCTGTCACATGGTACATACTTTACCTTCATTTTATAGAGGAGGATAAGGAACTAAAATAAGTCTTTTGCACAAATGACCTTAGTCACATCAGGAATTTCCTCTCAGACCCTTAATGAAGAGTTCATACTTTTTTCCTTTTCTTTTCTTCTTCTTCTTCTTTTTATATATTTATTTATTTATTTGTGGAAATGGGGATTGAACTTGTCATGGAAGAAGAGTTCATACTCTTATCTACACTGAGTTCTTCCTCTAAGAGCAAGAAACTCCAAGGGCAAGTGCCCTGGGACAGGATGAACATGTGGTTGGCAGAAAATGCACGGCTTCTGAGCACCACAGACTGGATGCTGCCCAGGCCTCCCAATGGTCAGCTGCAGGAATGAGGGTGACAGAGTCACTTTTAATACTTTGCTCATCTTCCAACCAAGAAGCACTACACTGAACTGAGGTTAAGGATGACATAATAAGGACACAGATGAGAAACTTCTAACATAGGGATTCATTTTTTTAGCAGGCTCAGGATGGATCAGTACTAGTTTCTGGTCCTTCTCTGCATATGTACTGAGAGCATGACCTCACGCATTAGCTCCACTGTGCTGACCTTTCCTCTGCATCTGGAGTCAACAGCTGCTGCAGCAGGGAAGGGAGGTGTTAACCGTTGCCTGCCCAAGGGGAGAGAGTTAGGAATATATTACCTGAGATCACTTCGTACCTGATGGGCTTTTGATTCTTGATTTCTAACTATGAAGATGGGCCATGTAGAATGGAAATTTCTCCAGGAAGAGACTTGGCCTTGTGATTCACTGTAGAGCCCTAGCAGCCTGCTGTCATTGTTCCTGGTTATGACTCAACACCACCTCACATGTCTTATACAATCTCTAAGGGTGATAAGTGCTATTTTCTACTAACATCACAGATGTTAGAGAAGAAAGCAAAAAGGACAGCGGAGTGTTCCACAATCAAGAAACATCTCAGGGCATCTGGAACAACCACTTTCTTTCATCTTCTGTAATGCCCTAATCTCCACCCACCTCACCAGGAATACATTTCCACCGACTGTAACTTCCTACTTACCGTAGGAAGCAAGTACAATCTACAAGGGCTCAGATGCTTCTAAATCAGCAACAGAACTTTCAGTTTAAACTTTTGATGGCTGGAGTGTTGATTACAATCAGAAATGCAGAACCACAGAGTAGATAAGCATATGTTCTTTAAAGTCATATTAGTGGATTTAATTCTCAGGCTGTTACTAAAACACATGGCAGCAGACAAATTACTATTACATTCTCAGTTTGTTTACAAAATAGCAATGGAAATAACTCCCCCTGCTCTTCCTCAGGCTGCCATAACATTAGATACAATGAAGGCTTTACACGCAAAGATTTCAGAATAATGTTTGATATTTTGTTAGTGTTTAGTGACTATTACTTGTTATTATTTAGAGACATGTTGAGGACAAGGAAATCGTACTAACTATCCCAAATGTTTTCCCCTGTTGGGCTACTTTATTAAAAACGAACCTGGTATTTAATATTGGCAAGGATCTAAGTGAATTTAGCCAAGGCTGTTAGTCGAGTTGAGCTGCAAGCCGAATCTCACCCTTGGTGGTCCTGGTGGAAGTGGTAGCTGTTGGCCTTCAGCTTCCGGTGTGGTGGGTGATCTCACTTGGGTGCAGTTCATCAGAAATCAATGCCTGTGATAGCTACTGTGCTGTCACACGTGCAGCTGAAACTCATGACCCGACTTTTTCTAGGCTTGCTACGCCTGCAGTTCACCAGCACCTCGGCCTACTACACCTACCTGCTGCTGCTGCTCAAGAGCGCCCTCCACGGGGCTCTGGTTGTCTTCTGCCTGCTTCGAAGGCTCCGGGTCTGCTGTGACCAGAAGAGCTCCTAAGAGTGGAGGTGTAAGTGTTGGCTCTGTCTTCAGCGTTTCCAGGTCCCAGCAACGTTTGCTGAGGGTCTGCCTGGCTGGTGGAGATTGTTCTACTGTAGGACCCTTGCCCAGTCTTTGTCATTATCACAAACGATAGGCAAACTCCGCGACTTTTAGCTGTCAGCGCCGCCTGAGCCCCGTCCCCCTACGGTTCCCACAACCATTGCAGCCAGCCAAGGCCCCACAGCCTTGGTGCACACAGCTCCTGCTTCTGGCCAGGGCCTCAGTGACCATGGACTGGGCCACCCTGGAAGCTCTACCCACCTGGACACATCCTCTTTGCCCCTGAGCTTCGCTTTTTCATAGTAGACGCAATGAATTAAAAACATTAACACAATTCTTTGGGCCACGTGTCCTTCAATTTGATGACACTGAATTGACAACAAGGGGGTTGGGAGGGACACGCGGTGAGCTCGCGTGCGGGAAGCATGCGCGTTGGGAGGGGGCTGTTCGGCCGTTGGGACCCCCTCCATTTCCCCTTCCCTCCCGCTAACGGTGGCCCTAACGGCGGTGGGGAGTCCTGAGGCTGCGCAGTAGTGACCCCCAGCCTCGGAACAGGGACTGAGAGGGAATGGCGGAGTGCAGGAGGAAGAAGAGCGCAGAGGCGCATCCGGAGCCTCCCCAGAGCCCCCGCGCCGGGGCAGCGGAGCCTGAGACTGAGAAGCAGCCGCGCGTGGAGGAGGCCTCTGTGATGCCGCCCAGCCGCGCGTGGCTTCTGTTCTTGGTCCTGGTGCGGCTCTGTGAGAAGACGCGAGCCCTGCACACACCTGGCTCCCGCCGGGGCGCAGTGCTGGGCCTTGGTGAGCCGGTGGGGGTGGGAGGGTAGGGGCCTGCAGGGGGTGCTACTCCAGGATGGAGATGGGGAGATGGAGAGTGGTGAGCCAGGAGGGCGCAGGCCTGCAGAGAGCGCTGGTCCTGTATAGAGATGGGGGACCCAGCTTGAGGGGTGGGCAGGAGGGCCTGCAGAGGGCGCTGCTTCCGGATGGAGATGGGTGGGGGGATGGAGAGTGGGAGAGCCAGGAGGGTATGGGCCTGCAGGGGGCACTAGTCCTGGATGGAGATAGTGGAAGGGGAGCGAGGAGGTGGGGTGCGGGGGCTAGCAAGGGTTGCTGGGGCCTGGATGGAGACTGGAGACACAGCCCGAGCTGGGAGAGCTGAGATCTGGTGCAAAATTGAAAATTGCAAAATCCTGGCCTCAGAGTTCAGCCCTTCCAAAAAAGTTACCTTAGGACAGTCAGTGCCACAGTTTGAAAAAATGACTGGCTGTCTCTCGTGGAGATAGCTCTCTCTCTCTCTCTCTCTCTCTCTCTCTCTCTCTCTCTCTCTCTCTCT